TAAATCGATATGTAAAAGAAATTTTAATTATTCTCGCTCGGATCAACTTTATTTGATTCGATGAAGATACACATAGTGCAGTGCTGCGGCTCTAAAGCGCCAATACATTAAATTATACATAAAAGTCCTGCGTAATGGTCACGTGACGAAGTCAAAAGAGAATCGTGTACATGTGTGTAGAAATATAGCATATCAGTATAGTAGCTTTCACATCTTCATTTCATCATTTGTTTTATTTTCTTTATTTTCGTTTTCGTGTTTTTCTCTTCATTTTTTTTTTTTTTTTTGCGAGTCTCTAGCATCTTCTGTTTTTCTTGTTTTGGTGTCGTCATCTGTCCCATCATCTTTTCCATCTTCTCCTTTATTTTCACTATCGTTACTCTCATCATCTTTTTCATCATTTTTCATCACTTCCTTCCTTTTCTCTTTCTTTTCTTTTTGCTTCTTATCCTTCTTTTCTTTTTCCTGCATTTCTGCATAACGAATTAGAAGTAAGACTTAAACATATCACAATGCTACACATATACTATGCATCAGATTAACATCATGGATCACGTTGCTAAGCGAGACCATCCACAAGTCAGCAAGCAAAACTTGAACATATTTTCGATACTAAGCATGTAATTAGCATCCATTTTCTTCTATATAATATCAAATAAGAGTTGTGAAGCAAGTTGCTAAGCAAGGCCGACCACAGGTCAGCAAGCAAGTTCTGAGCATCTCGCATTTTCAATTTATCTTTCGTTTTCTTATTTCTTATCATGTAATATCAAATGAGTCATGAAGCAAGTTGCTGAGCAAGGCTATCCACAAGTCAGCAAGCAACTCAAAAGCTTTCTTATCGTTATTTCCTTCATTTTTCTTTCACCTTTCTTTTTCTCACTTCCCTATATCTATACTATACATCACATTAACGTCATGATGCAAGTTGTTAAGCAAGACCACCTCAAGTTAGCAAACAAGATTTAAACATATTGCAATACTAAACATATATTATAAGTCTGATGAACGTTATGAAGCAGGTTGTTGAGCAAGACCACCCTCAAGCTAACAATTTCCTAAGAATCTTACGTTTTCATACTCTTCGACCTCTTTTTTTTTTTTTTTTTTTTTTACATAACAATCAGTAACAACATTACATTTTTACTCATTTTCTTATTTCGTAATATTAGATGAGAGTCATGAAGCAAGTTGCTGAGCAAGGCCCCACAAGTCAGCAAGCAAGTCCTCGAGCATCTCGCACTTTCAATTTATCTTCCTTTTACTCATTTTCTTATTTTGTAATATCAGATAAGAGTCGTGAAGCAAGTTGCTGAGCAAGTCCCCTCCCCACAAGTCAGCAAGCAAGTCCTCAAGCATCTCGCACTTTCAATTTATCATCTTTTTTTTTTTTTTTTTTTTTTTTCTTTGCTCATTTTCTGTCATCAAATATATAATAAACAAGTTCCAAGAATAACAAGTTCTAAGAATTTCACATTTTCAATCCTATTTTTTTTTTTTTTTTTTTTTTGTGTATGGTATAGTGTTTTTACAGATTGCCTATTAAAGCTTTTTCTCTCCCTGATCCAAAAACCATTACCGATGAGTCATCGTAGTGCTCTTACAAAGTGAACTTTCTCTTTTTCTTTCTTTCTTTCTTCTTTTTTTTTTTTCATTTAGAAACGCCTATCGCACTCTTGACCTTCTGATTTCCTATACCATTCAAATATTCTTTCATACTTGCATCAACATCATAGTCAAGACTATTCGTTTCACCTTCATTTTTAATATTAGTTAATACGTTTCTTGTGTTCGTTCTTTTTACCATCATTTCCATCAGTTTCACCCGTGTCAACTCATCATAGCGGCGGCTTTAGCAGCATCAACATCCTTGTAAGTCTCTTGTTGCTCAATAATATTAACCTGTGTCAGGAATTCCCCATCTTGCAGATTTATGATCGCATCTTTTAATGGAGGCCTTATTTGTTCTCCCTCTTTAATTTTCTAATAAATTCTTAGGGCGGGCAATGGGTGGGACCACACACAAAAGAGCCAGATCCAAGTCGGGCAGCGAAGGAAAAATGCACTGCTGATCATAACCACTTCAGGTTACATGGAGCAAATGGGTGATCCTCACGATAATAACCCTAGCATGATTATCGTCATGCGTTAGGCAATAATGGATTATTACAGTATTATTATTTATTTGGGTCACTGCGTAACGTTATGAGTATTCGGGGACTTTTGATCAAACTTTGATAATTTATTGGGCCATATTCTTGAGTAGATACTCTTCCATTAATGCAAGTTTGGTTATATAATATTATATAACAACTTACTACAATTCTCGTTCAAAGTTTTCAAAATTCTATTTTTATCTTAATTATTAAAATTGATTGAACATCGATATTTCAATTTAAGAAATTTGGCCAGAATACTCATAACGTTACGCAATAACCCATTTATAATTAGATATTTTCAAGTTAAAAATCAATAAATAAAATCAATATTCAATATAACTTGAACCACAATTCTTTTTTCAATAGCTGTATTGCAAAAAGTACTTAATAATTACAAAATAAATAAATTTAATTCAACACATTTGATTTAAATTTATTTGCATATAAAAATAATGATTCAAATTCACAGATATTTTATACCAATACTACACAAGACTAATGACCTATGAAAGAATTGTAGATATTTATACTAAACTACATTAATTGAAATATAATTATATTACAAATCAACTATTGTTGATCTTAGGAAGGTCACAGAATTTCATCGCATTGGAGAAAAGGTTCATGCGATTGAAAAAAAGAAGCCTTTTGATACTGCTGAGTGTACTTTCAAAAATAAAAACTTACAAAGTATAACAGCAAACACGACGAAGGTCTAAGAGCTGCGTGGTATATTTTTTATTAACTATCAAAAAGCAAGTCTTATGAAATTTATTTGAACGCCAATTATTACTTAAGGTGCTGCTATAATCCAATCCCTATGTGATTAACACAAACTTCCATAGACCAAATCAAACCAATGGAAGCTATTAAAAAAAATTTTTCTAAACCTATTTAGTTTTTTGAAGCTTCTAACAACTCACTAATTGGACCGATTTTTCTTTCATTAAATCTGAACATATTAAATTTCATTATAAGAAAAAATGAACAAATACCCACACGAATTTTTTATCAAATAAATTTTCGATAAAGTCCATTGCCTCAATCAACGCCCATTCCACAGATATCAACAATTCACAGGAACCAATAATTCATTTACTCGAAAACGATTTTTTTCACACCATTGCACATTTAAACGCAAAATAGGGGTACTTATTGAACATCAATCAGACACCACACAGAAAATTACCAATTAAAATCCACAAATAAATTTTAACATTTTTAATAACCGTTTATTAATGCTACGATATTGAATCGTTTCTTTTTTTCATAACTTTAATGATTTACTAATTTATTTTTTCATTTACATTTTTACCTATACATTTGATGCCCATTCGAGCGAAAAAAAATTTGAGCGCATAGTATGAGCAGCGCAGTGGCATTAATCTAGAGTACGTTTGAGCATGCGCCAATACAACTAATGATAACAGATAAGCTAGTAATAGTAAAGTAGTATAACACATACAATTGCTTGAATTTTGTGAAACCCGCGTACCCAAAGAAAACTTACCTGCAAGACGTGAATTTTCCAAAAAAACAAAACAAAACAATAACAACAGCGTAGTACCATACCTAACCACCTATTTGCCAACGTGGTGCCAAACACAAACGATTATATCTTAGCGCTAATTATTATTAACAAGTTTAATCCTATTTAATATTAGAATAAGGTTAAATTTAGATCTTAGAGAAAAGCACGAACCCTTTTTTGTTGAACCCCAAAAGTAGCTTCATTAATAAAAATTTTAATAAATAACAATATCCGTGTATATACACGTAGTGTACAAATAGAAATTCACAATATGAATTTTTTCCCGTCAGTGTTATTCATAACACCTGCCAGCTATTCATGCTCAATATTATAAACCACAATATGAATATACGTACTAATCGTATAAATGCTAAAAAAGGCAACACTAAGTCATATGGGTGACGAAGTTGCCCTCATGCTCTGGTTAGCTACAAGAAAAAATAAAAATAAAAATAAAACCATTAAAAATAAACAAAAATAAAAAATCAAGATAACACCAAGATAAAAAATAAAATCAAACCTTAGATAACTAAGACTTTAACATGAAAATATTCAGGTATCAAATATAAAATTTGTTTAAAAACATCCTCCATTTTTACAACGAATAACCCCACACTCATGGATTTCTGAACTTAGAGATGAATTGGGCTGTGGTGGCAAAGTACAGATGTCGGGTGTCTGATTATTATTATAAAAAAAGAGACATAATATAACATTAGCTTTAGAACCAACCACCGAATCAATCATAGAATTTCTTCCAAAACCCCATTGAATACAATATGGATCCTTGAGACATCCTTTACAACACTTTTCTGCAGTAGTGATATTTTTTATTGGTCTCATGTTTTGAATATCCAAAGCATGGCAATTGTTTTTCCATCCTGGACTGTTGAGTTTACAGCAGTCCTTACAAGGTTTACCATCATTATGTTCTGACTTAGCATTCGCAAAAATTGTAAATGTCAGCAAATATGAAAAACAAATCAAGAACAAGAACAAGTTAAAGTTTTGTGGGTTCATTGCTCAATTAAAATTAATTCGTGGATTCAATAAAAATTTTTTCTAAATTTGGTGTGAAAGAAAAAATTATTTATTATTAGTAGTAAGAAAAAAAAAAAAACTTTAGTTTTTATAAACATTTAATAGTATATACAGTTAGGCCCAGTGTTAAAAATTCGCTGTGCTTGTATTGTTCTTTGCACAAACTTACAATACATTCATAAAAAATTTTTTCCACGAATTGCACAATTGAACTATTGGTTGTGTAAGTTGGATAGTCATATACCTCTGTATTCAATAGAGTATTCATGTAATATATCTGTGCATATTGTATTTTTGTGCAAAAAAAAACCTTATTTACACTGCATATTTGCGCGGAATTTTAAACACTAATCAGACCTCCCTAAATGCATAGCAGAGGGACCTATATGAAAATTTCACAAAATCTTGCATTTAGGGAGGTAAAAATCTATATGTATTATATGAGTTGGAGCCAAACAAAACCATGCATTTAGAGGTTTTTAATAGACTATGCATTTAGGAAGGTTGCATTTAAGGAGATCTGACTATATACGTATGTACGTACAAAGTTTTTTCGTTATTTATTGCATACCAAATTTGTGTATTTGGACAATCAATGACAATCAAATTCGTACAAATTGCAGTCAAATTCGTACACAATATTTAATTAAATCGCGATATCTCATGATCCAGTAATATAAATTACCGTATAATCTCGAAATAGCGGGAATCTGCGCGCTATTTCGAATACACCCATGGGCGTTATTTCGAATATTTAGACTGATTTTCTGAATAGGGATGTTAAATAGCCCACAAAGGACTAGCTCGGACCGAACTTTTTAGGGCCTGTCTAAAGCTTGTTCAAATAAACTTTAATCATGAATACTTTTGGCATTTCGCTTTCAAAATTATCTATAACGTATGTTAAACTACTAAGTTAAACCCGAACTTTTAAAGAACGGAGATGGGTCGA